AAATTTTTTCTTTCCACAACAAATTTACAACAAAAACACTACAATTAATGCCGTAGTTAACTTTTCTAAATTCGAAAAGTGTAGTGCTAACTTGACACACGTTGAAAACTCACGTTCCACTCGTTCCAAACGGAACTAGTTTTTTTCGATTATTTATCGAAGTGGAGGTCACAGCCTGACCTCCTTCGTCCAGGTGGTGAACAAGGTCGCAGAGGATTTCGTAGGGAGAGCATACTTGTTTTCGTTCGGCTCCTGCTTTTTGTTTTCGTTAATTTCGCACCATGTTTGATTCGTGCGGAAAATGTGGAAAGGCCTTTTCGAGAAGTGATATTTATATTGTGCTATGTTTTGGGCTCTGTAAGAAAACTTTTCATCGTGGGTGCTGTGTGGGCCCCAACTCGGAATATGATGTGAATTTGTTCAACTCGAACCGCCATATTGGCTATATGTGTGAGGGGTGCATCAAGATACCCGAAAAGCTTTGCAAAGCCTATGACTGTGCTGGACGGTCAAAAGTTTGGGATTCAGACCATAATAAATGCCTGTGATAAAAAATTCAAAGAGCTATCTTTGCAAATTGCAGACCTCAAAAAGGAATTTCTTGCTTTTACCAAAATTGACATGGTCAACAACAATGCAAAGTATAATGGAGTGAAAGAGGTTTCGTCTAATGTTAACGCTAAAAACAGTGCTGTTAATTCTAGCGGTGCTGTGTACAGAAAATGGAATAGTAGTCGTGTGACTGGTGTACAGGAGGTAACTGTAGCTGTTCCTGTCTCTCCAATGCGTAATATGTCATGGGCTCAGCATATGTTCGCTCTATCCCCAGCGGAGCGGAGTGCTAATGGTCTTCCTCCCACCAACATTGATGGAACATCCGATGGTGCGATGTTGCCCTCTATGTTATCACCAGGGAACGGATTTTTAGGACCTAAAAACCTATAAAAAAGGCAAAATAAAGTAACGAAATAGGCTGGAAAAGGCAAAATAAATAGCGAAAAAGGCAGGAAAAGGCACTAGGTATTGCAAAAAAGGCAAAAAAAGGCAAAACAAAATAGCGAAAAAGGCAGGAAAAAACAAAAAAAAGGTATTGCCAAAAAAGCAAAATAAGGCACTAAAAAAGACAGAAAACAGGAAGAACAATCAAAAAATATATTGATTTTAGAAATTTTTTTATTACAAGTACTATCAACTAGTTTCTTTATATGAAAAATTTGTACTTTGACTCTTTGACTATTTTATCCTCTCGAGTTTCTAAGTAACATTGAACTACAAGATGCACTTTGAAGTTTTCTGGCAGCATTTTCATTCGATTTTCGCGAAGAAAAGCCTTGAATGTACTAAATGTGCGCTCGAATTAAGTTGATACAAGTGGAGTCCAATTTAAATATGGAACGTTTGAAACGTTCATATTATCAGGAATAAGGGCGTTTTCCTCGCCCTTTACAATTTTATACACATCCCCTATTGTCTTCAAGCCTACGTTATTTGAGAAAACGGCTTTGAATTAAAAAAAAAAATATTGTAAATGCTATAATCACTTTTTTAAAGGTAGAATAGGCAGAAAAAGGCAAATATCTTAAAAAAGGCAAATATCTTAAAAAAGGCAAAAAAAGGCAACATAAAATGTGTATACATGGAATCAGGGAAAGCTAAATCGGACATTTTTAATCGAATATACTCTATCTCTTTAGCAGAAAAAAGGCAATTTCCATAAAATCCGTTTCCTGGTTATCACCTTCTCGGTCACATACTGCCGAATCTGTTAATGCTACTGCTGCCTACGGTGGAACTGTTAATGCTACTTCTGCTAATGGTGGAACTGCAATTCCATCGTTACCCGTATTTTCTGCTACTACAGGCGCTTCTGGTATCCCTGCTGTTGTTAACATTAGGGGTGCGTTCGAGCTACGTAAGAATTGAACTGAAAATTTTCTAAAATGCTGTAGAAATTTGGCAGTAAAAATGTTTATGTTGCTTTTGATTTGCCAATGATGAGTCACTGATAGTCAAAATTTTGTTCCTCGATCGCTAATCTAAAAAAGCGCAGAGTCCCCCAAATTTTCGCATAGAACGTGATACTCAGGGCTATCACAGAATATATCGTAGCTTCGATTTTCGTGAAATCTACGAAAGTGCTATCACAGAATCCGAATAGCGACGAACGTAAGTTCGAAATTCGTAGAGAGCCTTCATTGAATCCGTTCGTAATGAAGATTCGTACAGATACTCTACGACGAGTTTACGCTGTCGGAGCAAAATTTAAAATCACTGAATCTTAAAAACAATGAAAAAAGGTGCATTATTGTTAATAATAAATATTTATTATAATCCAAATTTGTTTTAGTTTGATATAATTCCATATATTTGTGTAAACGTAGACGTAAAATACCAATGCCATACATACATATATATGTACATACATTCATATGCTAGACGCTATTTAATTAATGAATATTTTTTATGAAGCGAGGAAATTCTAATAGTTTAACAACAATTTATTAGGAAAGAAACCTTATCACTTTAATATCATTAAAATTAATTTAAAAAAATATACATAAATTTTTCTCCTTAAAAGAATAAAATCTAAACTAAAAAATTAAATTTATTATAAAAAATAAACAAAAATTAAATAAAAAAGGAAAAAAGCTCCGCTGCCCGACGACTCGGACTCGAACCCGGATCTCTCAACTAGCAGTCTAGTGCTTTGCCCACTCGGCCATTGTGACTTCTGGGGCAGCGTGAGCAAAATGGCATACGTAAATGTCTATTATTTCTTTTGCGCTAGCTAATTTCGAATCAGCATTCGAATCTGGCAACGATATTTTCGAGTTCACTCGGATTCAGTGATAGCAATTTTTTCGTATTCGTGGCAGGCACTGACTGTTTCATAAAAAGTAACACTGCAGCATTTATTGCAGCTCGAATACACCCTAGTTCGGGAATGCAAGCCTATTCTGCCGCAGTTAAGTATGGTACGCCAATACCAACATTGTGTATCGAGCAAACCTACTTTGCTAGTTAGTTAATGCTACTGCTGTGGATAATGGAACTGCTATATCAACGTACTCTGTTACTTCACCTGGTGCTAATTTGTCGGCGAATGCCACTATGCCACTAAAGAAATTAACAAAGCGTAAAAACGTCGTAGTTGGTAGGAATACCAACACTGTGCTGGATGTTACCATTAAAAAGAAATGGGTACATGTATCAAGCCTAATGTTTCTGTTCAAAAGGTAATTGAGTATGTCTCAAAACAAGCAGGAATTGACTGTGAACACCTAGCCTGCTACAAGCTCGTTAAAAAGGATGCTAATTTGGAATATCTTTGCAGTGTAAACTTAAAATTTGGTGTGATGCCCTCTCTTTATGACAAGATTCTGAACCCTAACGTTTGGCCAGAATACATTAGCGTGCGTCCTTTCAGATTTTTTCAGAAAGAAGGACATCCAGATGCGGACAAATAGTGCGCCGTTAATAAATAATATTTTTTCGTGCAAGCATCTTAAAATATTCTTCCAAAATATGTCAGGTATGCGGACTAAATCCAAAGAAGTATTTTTAAGCACGTCTCGCTGTGAATACGAATGTTCTTGTCGAAACGTGACTCAATAGTGATTTTTTCGATGAGGAATTTTTCGACCCAACGCTTTTTCATCTTTGTCGAAAAAATAGAGACGCAGTGAAAACTGGCCATGGAAAGGGTGGTGGTGTGCTAATTGCAGTAAGGCAACATCTGCGATCATCTTTGTCTCCGCTTATGAATATGGATTCTATGCTGGACCAGCTCTGCGTTTGCATCT